TTTGATTGTGACTTCTGTGGTTCTTAGAAAAGTCTGTGGTCATTTGAGAAGTCACAACAGACTTCCAATGGGGCACTTCATCACCCCGGCTTACTGGGCGGTCTGAGCACCACGAAGGAGAGTTCCCACAGTGTGCCTTCTGTGCAACAGAAGAGTTCACAGTGTCATTTGTAGATTAGTCCTGGGGGACAAGGGGACTTAATCAAACTTCTAACTATAGTTACAGAGGACAGAGCAGGCTATCAAATGGCATTGTAAGGACACTCGGCTAAATCTAGAATGTGAAAACTGGAGGGGGAATGGCCCAGTTTTGTTCTGTTTTTTTTTTTCCTTCCTTCTCATCTGTGATGTGGTGTGTACATGTGTGCACACACGTGTGTGCACTCATGAATTCATGTAGGGGCAGAGATCCATGTGGGGCATCTCTTCTATTGCTCTCTATCTTGGTTTTTTTGGAACAGGGTCTCTCATTAAACCGGAGCCACCACATTGCCTAGACTGACTGGCAGGGAACCTCGGGGAGCTGCAGGGAGCCTCAGGGAGCTGCAGGGAACCTCGGGGAGCTGCAGGGAACCTCGGGGAGCTGCAGGGAGCCTCAGGGAGCTCACGTCTCCACTCCCACAGTGTGCCATCACACTCAGCTTTTATGCGGGCATTGGGGATGAAGACTCAGGTTCTCTGAGCCATCCTCACCATTTCCTGCTGCCTCTTTAGATAGGGTTATATGCAGTCCATACTGACTTTGAACTTGCTCTGTGACCTTGGATTCTGATCCCACCTTTCCTCTGAAGTGCTGGGATTACAAGCGTGCACTACATTCAACTCTTCTTTTTTTTAATTTTTTTAAAATATTTATTTATTTTATTTATTATGTATACAATATTCTGTCTGTGTGTATGCCTGCAGGCCGGAAGAGGGCACCAGACCTCTTTATAGATGGTTGTGAGCCACCATGTGGTTGCTGGGAATTGAACTCAGGACCTTTGGAAGAGCAGGCAATGCTCTTAATCACTGAGCCATCTTTCCAGCCCCTCAACTCTTCTTCTTCCCCCCTTTTTTTTCCTTTTTTCCTCCTCCCTTTTAGAAAATTAAAACCTTAATATAGGGCTGGACAGTAGTGATACATGCCTTTAATCCCAGCACTCGGGGGGCAGGGGCAGGTGGATCTACAGAGAGAGTTCCAGGACAGGCTCCAAATCTACACAGAGAAACCCTGTCTCAAAAAACCAAAAATAAATAAATAAATAGTAAAATATTTTTAAAAATTAATATAGGGCCAGACAGTGGTGGCACATGCCTTTAATTCTAGTACTTGGGAGGTAGAGGCAGGTGGATCTCTGTGAATTTGAGGCCAGTCTGGTCTACAGAGAGAGTTCCAGGACAGCCAAGGCTACCAAAGAAATCAAAAACTAAAACAAAACGAAAATATAGACTCTCACAAATAGCCTTAGCTGGCCTTGGACAGAGATCTGCCGGTATCTGTCTCCCATGTACTGAATTAAAGGCATTTGCCACCATGCCCAGCACTTGGTAAGATCTCTTGACCAGTGCTGATGCTGTTGCCCTGAAGGAGGGTGGTCTCTCGCTGTCTGACCTGCTGGGGTCCAGGATCTTGGTTTTCTGGGGTATAGCTTCACCATAGACCAGCACTTTGAAAGCTTAGGATATGTAGAGGGGTGGCTTTCAGTGTGCCCCAGAATCCAGACTGTTCTCCCTGGTGCTGACAACTGGTGTGGGAGCTGGTGCTGTTTATCAAAGAGTTTGGGAAAAAGCTCCAGCCAAAATAAGGTTGTGCTCTCCCGCCCCCTAGTGGCCAGGAGAACCTCAGGGGGCGTGGTTAGGAATCCACCCAGTGCTCTTTCCTTCCTTTCTTCTTGCCCAGATGACTGATGGCATTTGACTTTGGTTATCTTTTAAATTTTTTTCCCGACACAGCACCTGGCATTGTAGCCCAGGCTAGCCCAGAACTACTTATGCAGCCTAAGCAGGACTCTACTCCAGAAAATCCTCCTCTTCAGATTCCAAAATGCTGGGATTCCAGGCTGAGCCCACACACCACTAATTATGTTGACAACTCGGTAGCAGCCTGAGGCCCTGTAACATGAGGAGCATCCCTCACTGAGGAAGCAGAAGGCCTGGGTGAGGTGGTGACCTTTGGGATTTGGTCTAGCTGGCCCTGAGGGGTATGGCTCTGGAAAATGATTGTCGGAGGGAGTGAGCTGCTTGTTGGTTCCCAGCTGCTTAGCCCCGAATAACCACACAGAAACCATATTCATTAAATCACTGCTTGGCCCATTAGGTCTAGCTTGTTTTTTTTTTAACTCTTACATATTAATTTAACCCATTTCTATTCATCTGTGTATCGCCATGTGACAATGGCTTACCGGCAGATTTTTGGGCAAAGTTTTGGCATGTCTGACTCTGGCGGCGGCTCCATGGCATCTCTCTGACTCCGCCCTTCTTTCTCCCAGCATTCAGCCTTGCTTTCCTTGCCTACCTAAGTTCTGCCCTGCTATAGGTCCAAAGCAGTTTCTTTATTCATCAATGGCAATCACAGCACACAGAGGACTCCCACATCAGATGAGGATGAGGATAACTGATACTGTAATCGTCAGTAGTCACCAGGCATTTACTACCCAGCCCGTGCAGTGTCTTAACACCCACAGCGTGTACAGCAGACCAAGCTGAGGAGACCAAAGCCTGGCTACTTGCTGTATGATGTCTATCGGCTCACTACCTGCCCCTTACATGATGTCCCATGGGATGAATTTATTTTTTTTTTCTAGACAGAGTTTCTCTGAATAGCCCTGGCTGTCCTGGAACTCCCTTTGTAGACCAGGCTGGCCTCAAACTCGCAGAGATCCTCCTGCCTCTGACTCCCAAGAGCTTCATGTGCTGCCACTGCCCAGTGGGATGAATTCTTTTTAGTAATTATAGCAAAATAATTTAGTTGTGATCACCCTGGGAAGCAGTTTTAAAGAATTTATTTATTTATCATTTGTATTTTATGTGTATGAATTTTTTCCTGCATGTATGTATGTGCACTTTGGGTATGCCTGGTGTCCTCAGAGGCCAGAAGAGGGCACCAGATCCCCTGAAACTGGAGTCAAGGACAATGGGAAGTTGCCACGTGGGTGTGGGAATGAAACTCCGGTTCTCTGCAAAGACAGCAAGTGCTCTTAACCTCTGAGCCATCTCTCCATCCATAAAGCAATTTTACAAGATATCTCAAGCTCAACATAGAGACCTCCATCAATCGCCCAGCCAGGTTCCTGTGGTGTGTGTTGCTGCTGGAACAGCAAGTGCATTCTTGAACCACATGCAACATTTTCATCAGTGAGAGGCCATGAGTACCATAAATGTAATGATCCTGTAAGATTCTGCTGGGGATGAAGAGAAGCAGAACCTGCAGAAGAATTGCAGACCTCAGCAAGCTCCTTCACTCGGCTCTCGGAGCTCAGAAATTGTAGGATGTGGTGCAATTAAAAAAAAATTCTTGGTACAGCTGGGCGGTGGTGGCGCACGCCTTTAATCCCAGCACTCGGGAGGCAGAGGCAGGCGGATCTCTGTGAGTTCGAGACCAGCCTGGTCTACAAGAGCTAGTTCCAGGACAGGCTCCAAAACCACAGAGAAACCCTATCTTGAAAAACCAAAAAAAAAAGAAAAAAAGAAAAAAAGAAAAAAAAGAAAAAAAAATCTTGGTACAATATAAGTGCAATGGAGAAGAAACTGGCCAAGCACAAATATAACAGCAACACAGCAACTGAACTGAAATTAGGTTCTCCTATGCGAATTCCAGAAATTCATACAATTGTATACTAGCTTCATACTGGCCAAGTATGATCCTTCCATCTCCATCTCCATCATTTGGAACTGCAGTTGTATACCACATTACCTGGTTTACATGGTGCTGGTATCAAACCCAGGGATTCATGCATGCCAGGAAAACACCCTACCACCTGAGATATACCTCCATACCTACCTCCCTTTCAGTTTTAAAGGGACTGCCTTGCTGTTTCCATAGCTACCACATCATGCTACATGCCTAAAATGCACAGAAGTTGAAAACATTGGTTTGTTGGGGGTATTATGTTAAGGTATGTTACTTGTATGTTGCATTTGTTTAACTGTGTGGAGCTGTTGTTACTTTGCCTGTCTCAAATACCTAGTGGCCTAATAAAGATCTGAATGACCAATAGCAAGGCAGGAGGAAGGTAGGTGGGGCTGGCAGGCAGAACAAATAGAGAAAACTGGGAGATGTTCAAAACAGTAGCCTGAGAAGGCGGGGGACATGCGGGGCCAGCCATCCAGTCACAGAGCAATCCATGGAGTAAGAGTAAGATTTACAGAAATGCAAGAATGGGAAAAACAGAGGCTGAAGGGGAGACAAGATTATAATTAAGAAAAGTGGGCAAGAAACAAGCTAAGGGCAAACAACTCTAAGTAAGAATAAGCCTCCGTGTGTGATTCATTTGGAAGCTGGGTAGTGGGCCCCCCAGAAGAGTCCAAAGAGCATAACATCATATTACTACATTGGTTAGACACAGGCACAGTGACACACACCTGTAACCCAGCAATGAGGCCAGTTCAGATACATAGTCAGTCTGAGGACAGCTGAGCCTACAAACAAAACAAAACAGAAAACAAACAAACCCCCAGAACAAAATAAAACAACAAACCAAACAACTTGTCTCAAAAAATATAAAATATTTTCCAACACAGATGGGTCTCCATAGTAGACAGAAAGGGTTTTGTTTTGTCTGACACAGGCTGGCTGACTTACCTGGGCTGAAATCAAAGGCATGCACCACCACTCCTGGGCCCTGGTAGAGAAATGTTAACGGTACCTTGTCTGTTCATGAGCAAAGTCAGGTTTTATTTGTTTAGTTTTGGTTTGAGAAGAAGTTGGGAGGCAGAAGCAGGTGACAGCTTCCTCTGAATTGAAATATTCCAGGCTTTTGAGACTCAGGAAGTAAACACGCCTCATAAATCCTTCACAGGCCTCTCTCCAGGTTCCACAACAGTGAACAAGCCTGGGAAGCCGAGAGTCACGGGCGGTGTTGTTCTCTTGCAAGACCACAACTCCCAGCATTCCTCTGGACTCCAGCACACGCAAGCGCGGAACACATTTCCCAGAAGCCTTTGCATTCCCCGTTAAAAGCAAAGGCTACCACGAGTTCGCTCTCTTCTCTTACCCCGCCTTTCCTACCGTGTCTGCACGCCCCTTACCTGCCTGTTACCCCTCCCCCATTAAAGTGCACCCACGTGGGACCGCTGCGTGTCTGTGTCTTCTTCATCGCGTAACGCCTCTACCGTCTAACCCGCAGAATTAAGAACAACAGTGGTGCCTTCCTTCGACTCGGAGACCTCTCTGTCCCAGTGCCTGAGGCTTTTGCCTCTGGGCTTCACCGGTACAAGGTCTGAACCGACCGCCTGCACCCACCTTCACCTGTTTAACACGGCCATCCACCATCGTCTCATCCGTGAGTTAACCTAAGTTGGCTTCCTTCCCCCCGGGGCACTCAGAGACTGTCCGGCCGGCTTTCTTTGGCGCGTCCTGGGCAAGGTCGCCAACCTCACTCCCCTTCCCCCCCCCCTCGGCTTTTTGCCCCCGGCTGAAACCTGCCTCAGTCCGCGCCTGGGAGTTCGGTGCTTCCGGCCTTTTTCTCTTTTTTTCTAACCTTTCCTGTCCTCTTCCCGGCCCGCTCCGCCGCAGTGCCTTTTTGGGCTGTACGGTCAGCCCCGATAAGCTTAATTGTCTCCTCCCAGCCGGGGCTTTTTCCCCCCGTCCGGTAGCTGGGCTCGGACCAATTAAGCCATAACACGCCCCACGAATACTCGGACGCCTGTATTCGTGGCTGCCGTTGTTCGCGGTACTCCGGTACCTTTTTGCGGGCAGGCTCCGCTTCAGCTATGGGCTCTAAGCATTCCAAGCCAGTTCCCCTATCCTCCCCACTCGGGCAGCTTCTGGATGCTCTTGAGCCTCACTCCCTCATCCCCTCCATAAAACTATCTAAGTTAACACGGCTTTGTTCCAAAACTTGGCCTACATACAATTTACAAGGTTCTATCCGCTGGCCTTCCCAAGGGTTGTTTGACCCCGAAACTCTGCGGGAGTTGGCCAATTTTTGTCACCGGTCAGCTAAATGGAAAGAATTAATGTATGTGATGGCCTTTTTCTACATGGCCCTAAAGACTGATCCATCTACTTCATCTCACTGTTCACTTGCTCACATGTTTTTGGCCTTGCCCTCCATCCAGGAACCCTCTGCTCCCGCCATGGGTTCGCAACCCTCTGCTCTGTCCATGGACCCCGCTGACGCCCCCCTACCCCCCCAACCTCGTGGGCTCACCCATCCCCACCCTGCTCAATCGGGGGCCACCTCCCCAATCCCTCCTTCTTCAAAGGTTTCTTTTAGGTACAAAAAGGAGTCGCCTACGCCTTCTCCCCATGCCTCTAAACACTTCATTCATAGGTCTCCAGGAATTCCGCATAAATATCCTTCTGGGTCGTCTTCCCGCTCCTCTAAATCCCCCGAAAAATCTCATTCCCCCCGTCTCATATATCCCAGCCTTTCCGATCCAGCTTCACCCAACTTCTCCCGCAGCCGGACACGACCTCGCAGGCAGCTAACAATTCCTTCCCGTCACAGGAGGCGCAGACTGTCCAGATCAACTTCGGAATCTTCCGACTCACCTCCCTGCCCCACCCCTCTGCCTCGGTCTTCCAAAACCCCCTCAGGCCTTAATCCCACCCGCCGCCTTGCTCGCGAGCTGCTGCCGCTGCTGCAACAGCAGACCCTGATCAACTCAAACCAGCTACGGTCCTGCCCTTACGAGAGGTAGCTGGAGCTGAGGGATTGATGAGGGTCCACGTTCCATTCGCCTTATCGGAACTTTCACATATTTCTAAGCTACTAGGGTCATACACAGCTGACCCCACTAATTTTACAAAAGAGTTTCAATATTTAACCCAATCTTACAACCAAACTTACCATGATATTTATATGATTCTCTGTAACAACTTGCTTCCTGAGGAATGCCGACGGGTCTGGGAGCAGGCGAGACTGCATGCTGATGAAGTACATCAGACTCAGCCTTCTCATCCACCCAGGGCAGAGGCCGTGCCGGACCAGGAACCCCACTGGGATTACAACTCCCCCGGGGGCATTCTGGCCAGAGACCGATTCCTAACCTGCCTCCTGGTGGGATTAAGGAAGGCCGCTCTCAAACCAGTAAATTATTCTAAACTTGCAGAAATTTTCCAGGACACTAAGGAAAATCCTTCTGCATTTCTTGACCGTCTTACTAAAGCTATGTTACAATTCACAAACATGGACCCAGAATTCACAGAGGGCAGACAGCTCCTGATGACCCACTTTGTCAACCAGTGCTACTCAGACATCAAGGCAAAGCTCAGACGTTTGGAGAAGGGTCCCCTAACCCCACAGGCACAGATCCTGGAGACGGCCTTCAAGATCTACCAAGCGAGGAATGACAAGGCCCGGAATCATTGCCACGTGATCACCGCACCCACCAGGCCAGCCGAGGTGATGGACTCCACTGCCCGCCCTCCACACGTGGCTCCCCCGCCCCCCGGCCCATGCTTCAAGTGTGGTAAGACAGGTCACTGGGCAAAGGCATGCCCCAATCCCCATCGCAACCCAAGGGGCCCCTGCCCAAGGTGTCACAGGGAGGGTCATTGGTCCACAGTCTGCCCTCGTGTGTTCAATGACGCGGGGGCAGCCGCCCCAGAGGACCCCCAGGTTGACCTATTGGGTTTGGCTCTGGAAGACTGAAGGTTCCCGGGCTCCTCCACCGACAACCCGACTGCTACACCCATCTGCAACCAGGAGCCGCGGGTACTTCTTACAGTGTCGGGACGCCTCATCTCTTTTCTCTTGGACACCGGAGCAACATATTCGGTTCTAAGGGAATTTTGGGGGCCAACCTCCCCCTCAAGTTCCCCTATTGTCGGGGTAGGGGGACAGCCTTATCTACCTCTCCAAACTCCGCCTCTCAATTGCATATTTAGAGGTATCTTTCTCACTCATTCATTCCTAGTTCTACCAACCTGTCCAGTCCCACTCTTGGGAAGGGATCTTCTGACCAAGCTGGGAGCTTCCATTTCTTTTGCGCCCCCCCACCTGTTTCGTTTCAGATTCATCGGTGACACAGCTGCTGCTTCTCCTGGCTCCGCGACCCTCTGATACTAACATGCCTTTTCCCCTCCCAGCTTCCCAGGTGGACCCTCTCGTGTGGGACATCCAAAACCCAGCGTTGCTAAACACCACCCCCCCCCGTTGTTATTCAGTTAAAAAACCCTACTGGGTATATCACTCAAGCCCAGTACCCACTTCCTTCCCAAAGCCTCAAAGGACTAAAACCTATAATCTCTGATCTCTTGAGGAAGGGGCTGCTTCGCCCCACCTCATCTCCCTTTAACACTCCTATACTGGCTGTCAAAAAAATCTAATGGAACTTATCATTTGGTTCAGGACCTCCAGCTCATCAATTCTGCTGTCGTTCCTTTACACCCAGTGGTACCTAATCCTCTCACACTTCTGTCTAACATTCCTTCAGGGACCTCCCACTTCTCAGTCTTAGACCTAAAGGATGCCTTTTTCTCTATTCCTCTCAGCCCTCAGTCTCAGAACATCTTTGCCTTCACCTGGACAGATCCTGATACCAATTTCTCCACACAACTAACCTGGAGCGTTCTCCCTCAGGGATTCCGGGACAGCCCACACCTCTTTAGCCAGGCTCTGGCCTCTGATCTGCTCTCACTGTCCCTCCTTAAATCAAAACTGGTACTCTATGTTGATGACATCCTGCTATGTAGCTCCTCTTTGGAGACTAGCAGGACTGACACCGCCACCTTATTAAATTTTTTATCCAAAAAGGGCTACAGAGTCTCGCCTTCTAAGGCTCAATTGTCCACCACTCAGGTAACGTATTTGGGGTTAACCATAACCCCAACACAAAAGGCTATCACCTTAGACAGAAAAAGACTAATTCAATCTCTTGCAGTTCCTTCCACCAAAGAAGAGGTTCTGTCATTCCTGGGAGTGGCCGGTTTCCTGCAATCCTGGATTCCCTCATTCTCTCTCCTCGCCCGCCCCCTATATGAAGCAGCTCTCGGCTCTATGCATGAGCCCCTCCTTCACCCCATGACCAAACCTTTCCGGAGACTCCAACAGGCCCTTACCCAGGCCCCAGCCCTCCATCTTCCAGATTTAACTCGCCCTTTTTCCCTTTATGTAGCAGAAAGAGAGGGCTATGCCCTGGGAGTTCTAGGCCATCAACTGGGACCTTCCTTCGCACCTGTAGCTTACCTGTCAAAGAAGATGGACCTCACCACTCGGGGCTGGGCACCCTGCATACGGGCTTTGTCAGCCGCGGAACTTCTTATTCGTGAGTCAAAAAAGCTAACCTTCGGAGCACCTACTATGGTTTTCTCTCATCATAACCTGTCTAACCTCTTAACTTACAAAGGCCTACAGACCCTACCTCCTTCTCGAGTTCTTTCGCTTCAGGTGGCGCTGGTGGAAGATACGAGTCTCACATTCCAGTGCTGCCCACCTCTCAACATTTCAAATCTTCTACCTCAACCTGGTGTTGATTCCCCATCCCATTCCTGCATTGAGGTCCTAGAGGACCTACTGCCCCACCCCTCACATATACAGGAGGGCAGTCTGTCCCAGGCCACTCACACCTGGTACACAGACGGCAGCTCCTTTCTATGTGACGGGACCTGCAGAGCAGGTTATGCCATAGTGTCAGACACAGAGATAGTCGAGGCAAAGGCACTCCCTGCTCATACTACCAACCAGCAGGCTGAGCTGATAGCCCTCACCCGTGCCTTTCAGTTAGCCACGAAACAATCTTTAAATATTTACACAGATTCTAAATATGCTTTTCATATCCTGTTATCTCACGCGGCCATCTGGAAGGAACGCGGGCTTCTCACAGCGAAGGGAGGGTCTATTACCAACTCAGAGCATATTATGGACTTGCTAAGAGCCTCCTATCTCCCTAAAGCTATAGGAATGATTCATTGTCGGTCCCATCAGTCTGACAGTTCTATTGTTTCCAAGGGAAATAACCGGGCTGACAGAGCAGCTAAGACAGCAGCACTTAGCTCAGACCTGCCTCAGTTACCTCAGGGAGTCCTTACAGCACAGCCTACAACCTCACAGACACCTCCTAACACTCAACAGATCCTGTCCTACCTGCACCAGCTTGTTCATCCTAATGAAAAAGCTCTGCTTCATTTTGTAAAAACACATATCAAACCCATGCCTGAGGACATCAGGTTTCTAAAAGCCACCACTGCCTCCTGTCAGATCTGCCAAAAGTCAGATCCCAGGACCAAATATCGTAGCTTCCCTTTCCCTACACACCAGGCCAGGGGCTCCCTTCCGGGAACTGACTGGCAGCTGGATTTTACTCATATGCCCACAGTCAGGAGAATTAAATATCTCCTGGTTCTGGAGGACACAATGTCTGGGTGGGTTGAAGCCTTCCCCACCTCTAACAAGAGAGCCCAGACAGTCTCTGATATTCTTCTCCGAGAGATTATTCCTCGGTTTGGACTCCCAACTTCTCTTCAGTCAGATAACGGTCCAGAGTTTACTTCTCAGATTTCTCAAAATCTGTCTAAAGCGGTTGGAATCCCCTGGAATTTTCACATACCGTACCATCCTCAGTCATCAGGTAAGGTAGAATGAACTAACCGCTCTTTAAAGGAAGCCCTCGTTAAGATGTCACAAGAGCTCCACCTTGACTGGGTAAGACTCCTACCCTTACCTCTTCTCCGGCTCTGAACCCTTCCAAGGGGCCCCCTCCTCATCTTACCCTTTGAACTCATGTATGGGCGGCCGGTCTTAACCCCCAGCTTCTTATCGGAGACCTCTCCCCTTCCTGACCACCTGCTCACTCCCCTCCTGTTCCACTTATGCTCACTACTGTGGGACTTCACAGATCACTCACTACCTCGACCATGTGCTAATACATGTCCACCGCCGGTTAAAATAGGAGATAAGGTATTACTCTCACCCCCAGGCCAGCGCCCTTCACCCCTTTCCCCTAAATGGCAGGGCCCTTTCAGAGTAATTCTTCTAACTCCCACAGCTGCCAAGCTTGAAGGAATTCCTCATTGGATTCACCTGTCACATCTTAAACCGTTTATCTCCACAGCTCAAGATAATCCTTCATACACGGTAACTCGGACCGGACCTTGTTCTCTTAAGTTCCAAAGGACACCAGATTCAGTCCCCTCTACTACAGTCTAAGGAAAAGAGTGGTCCCCATCTGTCGCTGTGTTAACACACCCTCCCTTCTTTAAATTCATAAATAACCATCTAGATGTCATTACAGGTACCATCATCAAATACGAAGTCAAGGACTCGGGTGGTAAGCAGATTCTCAATAAGGTTCTTTGACATAGCAGGTCAGCTGCTGACTGCAGCAGTGGCCCCTGAAATGTTAAGGAATATACGGCTAAAATCTATTTCCTTTAAGACACTCTCTTTAAGCTCCAGGATGCCAGCCCAACCCATCTAAACAAATCAAACACAAACGGAATAACGGAATAAGTATCATTTAATTTTTTTATCATTCTTAACCCCGGACATCCTAAGACTCCCTCACCTGGATCTCCTCTCCCCCCTCACCCCAGTTCCCCCCCCAAATTCCCTTAGATCCCCCCCTTTTTAATTTTTCCTTTTACTAATGCAACTTTTGCCTTCCAGCATCTTAATGATGACCCAGCTACTCAGGAAAAGCCAGACAGATTTCTTCAATCAGCCACCTCAGACGACAGCCAGGACTTCAAATGCCAGTGGTACAACCAGCCATCGCCAGACACCAGCGACCTAAGACTCCAATGGGACATCGCCAGAATAATCAGACATTTCCTGGAGCCCTCAACGCCCAAAGCCAGCAGGAAGCAGCCATGAGAGACCGGACTACGCCCCCATTCCCTACCCTTTAAGGTCCCCCAATTTTTTTAATCAAACCAAAAGGGTGAAATGTTGTTCTCTTGCAAGACCACAACTCCCAGCATTCCTCTGGACTCCAGCGCACGCAAGCGCGGAACACATTTCCCAGAAGCCTTTGCATTCCCCGTTAAAAGCAAAGGCTGCCACGAGTTCGCTCTCTTCTCTTCCCCCGCCTTTCCTACCGTGTCTGCACGCCCCTTACCTGCCTGTTACCCCTCCCCCATTAAAGTGCACCCACGTGGGACTGCCGCGTGTCTGTGTCATCTTCCTCGCGTAACGTCTCTACCATCTAACCCGCAGAATTAAGAACAACAGGCAGGGCTGCTGCAGGCTCCACAGAGAGCTCCCGGGATGCAGCTTTGTCACACATCCTGGCTTTTTGACGAATGCAGCTGCCACTGAGTGGCGCCTATTCTTGTAAGTGACCACAATCAATTCATTGGTTTGCCAAGGAGGCCTTAGTGGGAATTTGGTTCTGGTCTGTTCTTGGTGAACCCTCTGAGATGAAGAAGCGCTTGTTCAATTCTCCCCAGGAGGTCACACAACAAGGTCTCACTGGTAGGCTGGCCTCTAATTCTTGCTTCAGCCCGGGCACTGTACCTGGTCACAGCCAAATTTGGAAAAAAAATAACCATGAGAACGTTTCGAAAACAGTTGCTTTCCTTAAGAGCCTGAGTTCGAGGCCAGCCTAGTCTGCTAAGCGAATTCCAGGACAACCAGGGCTACACAGAAAAACAAAACAACAACAACAACAAGAGCCTCAGTCACTTGGGAGGCAGAAGCAGGTGGATCTCTGTGAATTTGGGGCTAGCCTAGTCTACATAGAGAGCTCCAGGCCAGCCAAGGCTACATAATGAGACTCTGTCTCAAAACAAAAAAAAACAAGCAAAGCAAAAAAGCTAATTAAAATAAGTAACTAAACCTCAGTTAATCCTCAGGGAGTCCACAAGAGGGTGCTGTGACCACAGGACATGTCCACTGCTCCATTGCCCCTGAAGACCTTCTGTGGGAATTTAAAAACCCCTCGGAGAAGTCATAGGAGGTTTATTGGAAGAGGAAAGAGAAGGAGCAGAGACCTGTCTCTAGGGACAAGAGTGGCAGGAGAGAAAGAGAAGACCTATCCTGCCAGGGCCCCAAGGGCAGGCCTGTACAGATGCCTGAATACTAGCACCTTCCAAGGGACAAATGAAAGGCAAGGAAGACAAGGTTGAAGATGAACTTGACCCTAGGTGGGCCATGGCTAATACATAATTATGTCTTAGTTTTAAACAAAAAGTCTAAAGAATAAAAACATCGAAGAGGAAATAAATATTTATATAATAATATAATAGATATAAAAAGAATAGGATATAAATTATTTTTTGTACAGTTATAAGATGTACTTGTGTTGTAACCCAAGTGTTATGAAGGGGTGAAAAGGCTAGTCTAGAGACTGGGAATCCAGGGCTGCTCAGTGAGATTCTGTCAAAAAAAAAGGGGGGGTAGTAAGCTAAGGTTAATTTATTATTGAAACAAAAAAAGCCAGGTGGGGGTGGCACAAGGGAGGGAGAAGCAGGCGAATCTTTGACTTCAAGGCCAGCTTGGTCTATAGAGTGAGTTCCAGAACACCAGGGATACACAGAGAAACCCTGTCTTGAAAAACAAAAACAAAATAAAATTTTCTTATTATATTTATTCATGTGTGGGTTGGTGTGCTATGTTCAGGGCTCATGTGAAGATCAGAGAAAAACTTTGGGTACAAGCACTCTCCTTCCATGTAGGTCCCAGAGATCAAACTCAGGTCCTTAGCAAGTAACTTTTTTTGGGGTTTATTTGTTTGTTTCATTGATTTTTATTGAGTTCTACATTTTTCTCTGCTCCCCTCCCTGCCTCTCCCCTCCCCTTCAACCCTCCCCCAAAGTCCCCATGCTCCCAATGGGGATCTTGTCTTTTTCTACTTCTCATGTAGATTAGATCCATGTATGTCTCTCTTAGGGTCCTCATCGTTGTCTAAGTTCTCTGGGATTGTGGTTTGTGGGCTGGCTTTCTTTTGCTTTATGTTTAAAACCACTTATGAGTGAGTACGTGTGATAATTGTCTTTCTTAGCAAGGACCTTTATGTGAAGAGCCATCTCAGCTGCCAAGGAAACTATCTTTATCAACTTAGCGTAGACTGGGTAGAGCCACAGAGTGTGCCCTGGACCTTCCCAGCCCTTCCTTGCTTGTCCACTGGTTGACCAAGGACAACTCCTGTACCTGGATGTTCCGCTCACAGTGAGAGTCCTGAAGAGATTCGCCATGCTTTTACTGTAGCATTTGGAAATGAATGGCACTGTGTCCCAGAGCTTGCAGTATTGAGTACAGCTCTGTCCAGCTCACAGCTTAGGAACACCAGGCTACTCCATGTAGCTCTGTGTGGGAGGCTGTATCATCTGGGCTGTGGAAATAAATTCTGCCACGTTCATGAAAAAAAAATCACCTGAGACATTTCTCACAGCTTATTGGCCCTGGTCAGCAATCAACTGTGTGTATAAAATCTGCACATAGGGTGGAGGCGGCCAGAACCCGGACGGAGGAGGCGGCCGGAACCCGGACGGCAGAGGCGGTCTCTGCAGGCGGCCGGCGGGTCGGCTGGGACTGGCTGGGACTGGCTGGGACCGGCTGGGACTGGCTGGGACTGGCTGGGACCAGAGCAGCAGCAGAGGACACAGCCGCAGGCGGCGGGAACCGTCGTGGCAGCAGAAGCAGGCTGCAGGGACCTTGCACAACACCCAGAGCAGATCGCCCCACTACAATTAAATCAAAAAGGTAGGCCTTTGGTTGGGGAGGTCCCTGGCAAAGGAGGAGCTGGGTCCTATTCCTGAAGACCCTTCTGAGGGGTGAGAGGGATCTTGGCCCCCGGCAGGAACCAGGAAATAGAGCGAGGGCATTTTGGAAGAGGAGCCCCTGGCCAGCAGGGAAACCTGAACCAGTTTTAACAGACCCCTTAGATAGCATTGATAGGAGGAGATGGGCAGGTGCCAAGGCAAGAATTCACCCAATAATCTGAAAAACAGCATGAAAACACCAGAACCCAATGATCTTACAACAGAAGGTCTTCAACACCCTAACACAGAAGAAGTGGAAAAAATTGACTTTATGAAAGCAATAGAGTCCCTTAAAATCTGCACATATCCATGAATTAATGATCCCACTGGGACAGATTCAATGCAATGCCCATGAAAATCCCAGCAAAATTCTTCACAGACCTCAAAAGAATGGTACTCAACTTCATATGAAAAAGCAAAAACCCCAGGATAGCCAAAACAATCCTGTACAATAAAAGAACTTCTGGAGGCATCACAATCCCGGACTTCAAACTCTACTACACAGCTACAGTACTGAAAACAGCCTGGTATTGGCATAAGAACAGACAGGAGGACCAATGGAACTGAACAGAAGACCCGGATATTAATCCACACCCCTTTAAACATCTGATTTTTGACAAAAAAAATATCAAATGGAAAAAATTTTTTAGCAAATGGTGCTGGCATAACTAGATATCAACATGTAGAAAAATGAAAATAGACCCATATCTATCACCATGCACAAAACTCAAGTCCAAATGAATCAAAGACCTCAACATAAAGCCAGCCATACTGAACCTTATAGAAGAGAAAGTGGGAAGTACATTTGAATGTACTATCACAGGGAACCACTTCCTAAATAGAACCCCAGCAGCACAGACACTGAGAGAAACAATTAATAAATGGGACCTCCTGAAACTGAAAAGCTTCTGTAAAGCAAAGGACATGGTCAACAAGACAAAACAACAGTCTACAGAATGGGAAAAGATCTTCACTAACACCACATCAGACAGAGGTCTGATCTCCAAAATATACAAAGAACTCAAGAAATTGGACTCCAAAAGATCACATAATCCAACAAAAAAAAATGGAATACAGACCTAAACAGAGAACTCTCAACAGAGGAATCTAAAATGGCTGAAAGACACTTAAGGAAATGTTCAACATCCTTAGTCATCAGAGAAATGCAAATCAAAACAACTCTGAGATTCCATCTTACACCTGTCAGAATGGCCAAGATAAAAAACACTGATGACAACTTATGCTGGAGAGGTTGTGGGGAAAAGGGAACACTTCTGCATTGCTGGTGGGAATGCAATCTGGTACAACCCCTTTGGACGTCAGTGTGGTGATTCCTCAGAAAATTAGGAAACAACCTTCCTCAAGACCCACTAATATCACTTTTGGGTATATATCCAAAGGATGCTCAATCATGCCACAAGGACATGTGTTCAATTATGTTCATAGCAGCTTTGTTTGTCATAGCCAGAACCTGGAAACAACCTAAATGCCCCTCCACCAAAGAATGGATAAGGAAAGTGTGTTACATTTACACAATGGAGTACTACACAGCAGAAAAAATAACGGCAGCCTGAATTTTGCAGGAAAATGGATGGAGCTAGAAAACATTATTTTGAGTGAGGTAACCCAGATACAGAAAGACAATTACCACATGTACTCACTCATGGGTGATTTTTAAACATAAAGCAAAGAAAGCCAGCCTACAAACCAGAATCTCAGAGAATTTAGACAACAATGAGGACACTAAGAGAGACTTACATAGATCTAATCCACATGGGAAGTAGAAAGTAGAAAAAGACAAGATCTCCTGAGTAAATTGGGAGCATGGGGACCTTGGGGGAGGATTGAAGGGGAGGGGTGAGCCAGGGAGGGGAGCAGAGAAAAATGTAGAGGTCAATAAATATAAAAAAAAATCAGGTGTTTGAAGATGTGTGGATCGATAACTGGATCTTTGATTTGGTTCCATTGGTCCTCCTGTCTGGTCTTATGCCAATACCAGGCTGTTTTCAGTACTGTAGCTCTGTAGTAAAGTTTGAAGTCAGGGATTGTGATGCCTCCAGAAGTTCTTTTTTTGTACAGTAT